AGTCCTGCTGGAAGTGCTGTTAAACCAAATGATAATTTTCCCAGTGTAGGTCCTGAAAGAGGTAATCAATATCGCGGCAGATCTTAAGGGATTTATACTGTATAAAATATCAAACTTTAAAATTGTTTTGCATATATATTTTCATCCGGCGTACACCACAATTAAAATCAAAGTAAATCTAAAGTAAAATTTAATAAATAATTTCATTTGAATCAATTTTTTTAATTTGACGAGAGCTGATTACGTTCTTATTTAAACCCACATATAGCAGTATTACCCCACAGAGTATTATAACTAGACTTAGTCCCAATAACCGTATTACCAGCTAAGAGTTCATCAATAGTTGTACTGTGTGATACCAAATTAATTTGTTTGATGTTTCCATGGTCTTATGCTAACCTCAAGCCGTTTGTCTCTTAGAGATATAGGTTTAGTTGAAATATTTCTTCAAAAAACTTTTGTTTTCTATAAAATGATTTTAGAGTTCTATGGAAGACATTAAGAGCAGGATAATGAAACTTGAAATTGCTCTTAGTATGTTAGTTGTTCAGAAAACTAAAACTCAAAATATATTCTGAATGTATCGGTTTAGTCTTGCAAATATTTCGATACTTTATAGTTAATTTTCAATTTTCACGACTTAGGGTTTTCAGATTATCTTTACATATGTGAGAGAATCCATTTCAATGGATTTGTTTTCGCATAAGTAATCATATAAAGCCAACAGTATGCGTTTGCCGAGGTGTACATGTTTGTTTCGCTGAAATATATCATCCATAATAACAATACAATCATCTCTTAAGAGTTTTTCGGTTCGTTTCTTTGTGCCTGCGCCCAAAAGCACACAGCAAAATATGCAAATGCATTAAGGCAATGTGACTGCATGAGAAAGTGAATGTTGTGTGGATGTTTGAGTAGATGTTCGAGTGGGAAGCAGACAGCTTCAAGTCGGAAATGGGGAAATAAAGTGACAGTAAGAAGTTCCGTTCCAAAGTTGTTGACTGTTTGGATTCTCATATGCGTTTGCCTTTGAAATTGAATAGAAGTTCTGGTACGTAGGTGAAAGCGGTTGTACAAATGGAATATTTCACTAAAAATAAATTAAGTGCATTTTAAGATTGTTTAAGGAATTGTAAATGTTTTGTTGTTTTAACAAAGAAAAAACAGTCATGAAAAAACAGCATTGCATATTTAAATAATTTATTTTGGATCTTGTTTTGTTAAAAAAATGTTATTTAACTTTGTTTTAATCAACAATTTTTTTAAAATAATTTCATTGGTGCATGAAAAGCAATTATAAGTCAAAACTTTTTAAAATTGAAACCGAAAAAGAGAAATAATTAACAGTGAAGAGAACGAATTATAAATTGTATATTTGACTAATTTTATAATGTTGTTGATTAGTTCAATATATAGCAATTAATTTGCATAATAAGTTTGATCAGTTATATTTAACACATCAAATAAATATGAATAACGATATAAATTTAGCTGGTCAAATACAAATAAATAAGAATAATGAGTTCATTTCATATGAACAGTTTTTTCAATATGATCAAATGAGTTCACCTGTTCCATATATACCTGAATAACAAGTTTGAAAAATGCAGTTAAAATAATCCTAGTAAAGAAATATATTTAAATAATGCGATGCGAAATAAATCTTTACGATCAGTTATATCGAAACGTCTAACTTGGTGAACATAAATAGAAGAATTCAAAGAAATAAATTAATCAATATGATACGATTGAACAAATGCTGGAATACCATCAATTCAGCTTTAGAACCAGCCACTCAACAACTAGTCCATCGAATTAGTAATATAACACAAAACTGTTTGGAAAAGAAGGAAATGTGTTCGGTAGTGTTCCTTGATATTTCGCAGGCATTTGACAAGGTGTGACATAAAGGTTCTATGTGTAAATTACAAACGTTTTGCCATAACAATATTGCGATCTTATAGAATCTTATATAACAAATAGAGTTAAATACGGTTGCTACTCAAACCTAAAAGAAATTAAAGCGGTTGTTCCACAGGGAAGCGTTCCTGGTCCCATACTCTTTCTTTTGTTTACTAATGATATTCTAGTAACAGAAAATTGTAAAACTGCAACGTTTTCTGATAATACAGCTCTAATTTCAATTGTTTCTAATAAAATGGAAACAACTAAAACCCTCCAGATTTCTAATATTATTTCTATAATAATATTTGTTTAATATTATATTAATAATATTTGTAAGTGGATGAAACAATGGCGACTCAAGCTGCAAATTATATATAAATGGACTGGAAATACCCTATGCAAATTGGTGCAAAATAAACCCCTGATTTATAATCAAAACTTAAAGCCTCTTTGGACATATGGTGTACAGTAAAGGGGATGCACCACTAAGAGCAATGTATTGATATACCACGTTCCCAAAACAAAACGCAAAGAAATATTGTAAATGCATCTTGGTACATTCGTAGTACAGACCTACATCGTTATATGGGAATCAAAGCCATCAAGGACGTATACAGTTGTTTGCGCAATGAAAATTACTCAACATGAAAATGCACACGATTTACAATTACTCAACGCAAGTAACTCAGCACGGAGATTAAAACGTTCAATGCCCTTTGACCTCATTAAGTAATAAAACCTAAATGTAAAAATATTTATAATTTACCAAACTAAAAATGCTTGTTAGTCCTAACTATATTTACTAGTTGCATTAATAAAAAAAACAAAAAGACATAAGGGAGTTGAGGGAATTGAGCTATTTTGGTAATGGTCTAACGGACTAGAAACAATGATTAAAAGGTTCTTAGTCAAATATGATATATTTTACATAGATATGTTGTTTTAACACACATTTTGGTAGGGCTATATGTTTTATTAAACATTATCGCTATGTTATACAGAAAAATTTTTTGTATACTTGTCGATTGGTGATAATCAATGAATAATTGGTCTACCAGGTGCTAATAAGTAAACTTTTATCTGTATATTGCTTAAGTTATTCATATTATATATAACATAATATTAAGGTTATTATAGTTATCTGCTGTAAGATTCTGGGCTAAAGAATATGTGTGTCTTCATGAAGAAAATTCTAAGCGACGTCTTTATCGCTTGACGCGTTTTTAAGCAGATCAAGCAGATCAAGCAGATCATGACATTTCTATCTGATATTCTACAAAATCGTGCATTGGGTGTCGAGTTGGAGTGTCTTATTAGAAATAGTAAACGCAAAGGAAATATGAAATATTCTTCAATAAATTAGATGTGTGAAGTAATTTTACTGCTTTAGAGGAAATAATGTGAAACGGATTGAAATAATGCGATACAAGTGCATTGAATCAGACAGAAACTGTTTACAAAAATAGTTTCATTTATTTGTTAACACCCAACAAGAAACATTTCGAAAATCTGAAAAAAAAAATTTGCCATTCTCTGAAAATTGACCTATCAGTTTGCTGAATACTATAGGTAAAATGGCACAAAAAATAATATTGGCAAAACTCAAACATACAACTTTGACTAAAAATGGTATTCCCACAGAACAGTTCAGATTGCAAGAAAATTTTTCGATTGATCTATCTAGGAAGAGTTTTTGAAACTATAACAAAAACTCTCACTGAAGTAAAATCTAGCTTTGTTTTAGGATAGCTTTGTTTGATATCTCTAAAGCGTTTAAATGGTGTAATGAGCTAATCGTCAAATTAAAAAATTACAACATTTATAACATAGATAGTTCTTGGTCGAAGTCCAAAAAAATTTTTTTCTAACATATGTATTTATTGTATAAGTTATTGTAAAGTTATTACATAGACGACTTTTTCTAGAATTTATGAATTAAACTTCGCCTTTGCAGATACCCCCTGTCAAGAGGTGGTACTGTCAAGAAAACTATTTTCAATACAAGACTTAGGCATCAAACTCAAAAACAAAAAAAACAAAAATAAAGCCAATAAATAAATAAACAATAATCTTACATATGTCTAACTTTTGACAGGTGATGCTCTTGGCTAGAGAGAATAAGGGTTACAACTGGCTTGTAATACAACTCTAAATGCTTTGAAACTGTCAATATAAGGAAAGTTAAAAGTGTGAAATAAGACTCTATTATAATGGCTAATGGCAAGACATCCAGTATTACAAAATAGCGGAGTTTTCGAAACTTTTAAAGTTTTCAAAATATTGTATTGAGAAGTTTGCTAAAAGAACTATGACGTGCTAGAAATGAAGATACACTAACAGAAATGAAATCGAGAGTATGCATCAAAGACAGATCGTTGAAATTGTTTAATTCCGTGGATGCTCATACCAATTCATAATTGCACTCAATTAAAACGAATGAAATTTATATTCCATTACGAATATATGATTGGCTTTAAACCACACTTCTGTAATATCACCTGAATAACTCATTATCATTATCAATAAAGCATTTGTTACTGAATCACGGTTGTGATCACAGATACCTACTATTGAGTGACACGGCTTTAGACATAAACCCGCGATTAATCAAGCAAATGAAAGAAAGAGGGAAAAGAGGGATTTCTGTTATGATTTTAACAAAACAGAGAAAATCAAACACAATACAAATCCTGTAGGTTGATCACTGTATAATGTAAAGTAGAACTCCATTCCAGCGGTTAACAACGTTAATCTTTATTTGTGAAAAATAATTGATAATAGTAACGATAACGATTTAAAATCTGTTTCTTTAATCTAACGATTTTTAGAAGCGATTTTATCGATTTCAAGCAGGTCTAAGTAATTATCATTTCTTATTGCCCTTGCAAAACGTATACATTTTTGTGATCCATAAAAAGTACATATTATTTGTATATAACATAGATGCACACAGGTACGTATATAGTCGTCCACAATCAGAAATTTAAGAAATGTAATTAAGAAGCAACAGAAAACATCTGGTAATATACTGAAACTTTAACGATTTTTTCTCATAAAAGCAAGAGTCAGCTTTAAAAGAATTTAAAACTGCTGAAGAAATGAATGTGACAATGTCACGAATAGCAAATTTTGCAACTTTTGCAATAGTACTCATTGGTAATACAATACAAATATTCATGATGTGATATAATAACTACAATTTTTATTTTGAAGGCCATGTTTATGGAAGATTTATTTTTGATTCTGGAACCCTTGTAAAGGAAGCAATTGAATATAGCGGTGCGTTGGTAAATGAACTTTTTGATGTTTCTGCTGGTTTTTCTACATCATTCGGTATTTATGTCGACTATGATCAGCTTGTCCAGGAAGAAGAGATGGATGACAGCAGTCAGCAGAGTGGAACTCAACAAATAAGTAGTATTTAATACAAAAATTCTAAAAGACAAGTAGATCACACTAACAAGTTTTTTCCAAATCTAGATGAACAACCGAGCGAAACACAAAATCAGTCTGAAAATAACAATGCATTATATATAGATCTAGATATTGGTCTAGAAGGGCATATAAATTCAATTGATCCAACGAATCCAAATCCAGAGTTGTATCCAAATAAACAAACGAATACAAATAACGACATTTATCCCAACAAGCAAACGAATCCAAATGATTATAGTTATTTGGAGGAAAATACAAATCCGAATAGCTACGACTTTCAAAACCAGCAGCTCATTACAAATGAGGAAGAGACACCATATGAACCATTTCCAATAGTAGATTATGATCCAGTCGAGCATAAGGATAATAGTGATTCCCTTTATCCTAATAAACAAACTAATCCAAATGAAGACGGATATATAAACGACAAAGAAAGCCCAAATGATTATTTGATAACAAATGAAAAAACAAACTTACATGATCAGAATGGTCAGCCTGATCAGTATGGTCAGCCTGATCAGAATGGTCAGCCTGATCAGAATGGTCAGCCTGATGAGTATGGCCAGCCTGATCAGAATGGTCAGCCTAATCAAAATTGTCAGCGTGATCAGAATGATCAGCTTGATCAGTATGGTCTGCCTAATCAGTATGGTCAGCCTGATCAGTATGGTCAGCCTGATCAGTATGGTCAGCCTGATCAGTATGGTCAGCCTGATCAGTATGGTCAGCGCCTGATCAGTAATGGTCAGCCTGATCAGTATGGTCAGCCTGATCAGTATGGTCAGCCTGATCAGTATGGTCAGCCTGATCAGTATGGTCAGCCTGATCAGTATGGTCAGCCTAATCAGTATGGTCAGCCTGATCAGTATGGTCAGCCTGATCAGTATGGTCAGCCTGATCAGAACGGTCAGCCTGATCAGTATGGTCAGCCTGTTCAGTATGGTCAGCCTTATCAGTATGGTCAGCCTGATCAGTATGGTCAGCCTGATCAGTATGGTCAGTCCGATCAAAACGGAAAGCCTAATCAGTATGGTCAGCCAGATCAGTTTGGTCAGCCTGATCAGAATGGTCAGCCTGATCAGAATGGTCAGCCTGATCAGAATGGTCAGACTGAACAGTTTGGTCAGACTGATCAGTATGGTCAGCCTGCTCAGTATGATCAGCCTAATCAGAATGGACAGCCTGGTCAGACTGATCAGAAAGGTCAACCTGAGCAGAATGATCAGCCTGGTCAGAACGGTCAGCCTGGTCAGTATGGTCAGCCTGAACAGAATGATGAGTATGGTCAGCCTGATCAGAATGGTCAGCCTGATCAGAATGGTCAGCCTGAACAGAATGATGAGTATGGTCAGCCTGATCAGAATGGTCAGCCTGAGCAGAATGGTCAGCCTAATCAGAATGGTCAGCCTGATCAGAATGGTCAGCCTGATCAGAATGGTCAGCCTGAACAGAATGATGAGTATGGTCAGCCTGATCAGAATGGTCAGCCTGAGCAGAATGATCAGCCTAATCAGAATGGACAGCCTGGTCAGACTGATCAGAAAGGTCAACCTGAGCAGAATGATCAGCCTGGTCAGAACGGTCAGCCTGGTCAGTATGGTCAGCCCGAACAGCCTGAACAATATGATGAGTATGGTCAGCCTGATCAGAATGGTCAGCTTGGTCAGAATGATCAACCTGGTCAGTATGGTCTGCCTGATCGGAAAGGTCAGTCTAATAAGTATAGTCTGACTGGTCAAAATTATCGGCCTGGTCAGTATGGTCAGCCCGAACAGCCTGAACAGAATGATGAGTATGGTCAGTCTGAGCAGAATGATCAACCTGGTCAGCCTGATCAGAATAGTCAGCCTGGTCAAAATTATCAGCCTGATCAGAATGGTCAGCCTGGTCAGCCTGAACAGAATGGTCAACCTGAGCAGAATGATCAGCCTGGTCAGAATAGTCAGCCTGGTCAGTATGGTCAGCCCGAACAACCTGAACAGAATGATGGGTATGGTCAGCCTGATCAGAATGGTCAGCCTGGTCAGAATGATCAACCTGGTCAGCCGGATCAGAATGATCAGCCTGAGCAGACTGATCAGCCTGAGCAGACTGATCAGCCTGAGCAGACTGATCAGCCTGAGCAGACTGATCAGCCTGAGCAGACTGATCAGCCTGAGCAGACTGATCAGCCTGAGCAGACTGATCAGCCTGAGCAGACTGATCAGCCTGAGCAGACTGATCAGCCTGAGCAGACTGATCAGCCTGAGCAGACTGATCAACCTGAGCAGACTGATGAGCCTGAGCAGACTGAGCAGACTGATCAGACTGACCAGCCTGAGCAGACTGACCAGCCTGAGCAGACTGATCAGCCTGAGCAGACTGATCAGCCTGAGCAGACTGATCAGCCTGAGCAGACTGATCAGCCTGAGCAGACTGATCAGCCTGAGCAGACTGATCAGCCTGATCAGAACGGTCAGCCCGAACAGCCTGAACAGAATGATGAGTATGGTCAGCCTGAGCAGAATGATCTACCTGGTAAATATGGTCAGCAAGAACAGCCTGAACAGAATGATCAGAATAGTCAGCCTGAGCAGAATGATCAGCCTGGTCTGCCTGACCAGAATAGTCAGCCTGAGCAGAATGATCAGCCTGAGCAGAATGATCAGCCTGAGCAGAATGATCAGAATAGTCAGCCTGAGCAGAATGATGAGCCTGGTCAGAATGGTCAGCCTGATCAGAATGGTCAGCCTGATCAGAATAGTCAGCCTGAGCAGAATGATGAGTATGGTCAGCCTGGTCAGAATAGTCAGACAGATCAAAAGCCTGTTCATCTTGAACAGCCTGAACAGAATGATGAGTATGGTCGGCTTGATAGGTATGATCAGAATGATGACTATGATCAGAATGATGAGTATGGTGAGAATGATGAGTATAATCAGAATGATGAGTATGGTCAGAATGACGAGTATGATCAAAATGATGAGTATGGTGAGAATGACGAGTATGATCAGTCTGATGATCAGTTTGTTCAGCTTAATCAATATGGTCAGCCTAATCAGTATGGTCAGTCTTATCAGAATGGTCAGCTTGAGCAGAATGATCAACATGGTCAGCTTAATAATTATGGTCAATATAATCAGTATGGTCAGACGTATCAGAATGGTCAGCTTGAGCAGAATGATCAACATGGTCAGCTTAATAAATATGGTCAATATAATCAGTATGGTCAGAAGTATCAGAATGGTCAGCTTGAGCAGAATGATCAACCTGGCCCTGATTAGACTGTCGGTATGGACAGTCTAATCAGTCTGGTCAGCTTGTTCATCAAATCAGTAATAAATATGCTTGCACCGGATATGAAATTTTAAATTTTTAGTTACAATCAGATTCTTCTTGTGGTCCAAGTAATGGATGTGATGATAGAAATATTTCGATTTACTGATCAATATTTGAAAAGTCAATTTAATATTAATGCGGAAAAGTGTTTAACAATAAATGAATAAATTTTTGGGCATTCTAACTGTTTTAAAAATATTTTAACTTTTTTTTATTTGTGTCTGTTTTAGTTTTTATCAGTTATAATTGTAATCTGTTGGACATTCAGTATTTTCTATGGGTACAAGAAGATATGAAAGAATATGTTGGTATATGCGATGCACTCAGTAGTAAATACTGCTGAAGATTAAATTACAACAAACGATTAATATCTAGTTGCCTATAAATGTCTGATATCAGGGAGTTTGGTGAATTGTATTTTGAGTTCTGTTTAGCAGATCTGACGTACAAAATTTTACTCCTCGACGTGGATGGTTGATATCTGATAACAACTCATGTACAAGTGAGTTTAGGTGATTTGATGGCGTTGTGTGGTAATTTTTCCTGATTGGTTATATTGCTTCAAACACTGATGGGACGTGGAGATCGCACTGTACTCTTTGAGACATACTATTGAGCAGCAGAATATAATTGTTCGGTGATGGCTTTGAATTTTGGCAAAGAAGGAAATACATAGAGCTTAATTTCAGGCTCAGTTGCTTATGCACCTGTTTCCAGGTTAGGTGCCTATCAATATAAACTCCCAGATATTTCGGTTGATTGGGTTGCGGCAATACGTTATTATTCATTGTGACTGGTGAGCAGTAACCATGGAGAAGACTGAATGTGGTTTGTGCAGATTTGAATTCATTGGCTTTCATGCGCTATTAGTTTAGTCACACTTGGATGAAGTGTGAATTGGTTTGCTTTAGCCATGGTCATTGTGTCATCCGCAAAGGTGCGTCGTACGTTAAAGATCCCGACTTTATTGTGGTCTGTTGGTCAAGAAGTAGGTGCTCTAGATGATGCGTGATGCAAGTTATTAGCCCGCATAGTTTGAAACAATTCTCGTCCTCTTGTAGTTATTTGTCTGGAGCTCCAGTGAGTATGCGTTGCATTGGATCTCCATTAGCTATATATGTTTAACCGGACGTGTGGAAAAATTTCTCAAAACTGTTGACTTTTTGGTAGTCAATAGATATAGTCTTTATATATAGACTGTTATTGATATTGACTGAAGAAATAGTTTTTAGTGTTTGATGTGCATGAAATGATCAATATCATTTTCACGACTATCGAGGCTCCTCTGCAAGCTATTTTAGATGCATGTTTGGAGCAATATATAGAATATTTCGAAATTCTAAGTGGCTTTTCTGGATGAAGTGGGTTTTAGATATTAATATGATGTGAATATTTTTGTTAGTGAGAAATGTCTTTAATTCGTTGCTATGTTGAGCTAGCTCATTCCAGATATAACTTTTATGTGTATTCATTATTTTAAAGTGTTACCGACGAATGCGGAAAATTTAGCGTAGTACTTATATGTTGCCTCAGGGCTTTGAGCATCATATTCAACTCTGACATGTCATTGTTTTTTTTTTTTCTTTCTTAGTTTAAAAATAAAATATGTTTGGCTTCCTTGAACGAACTCTGAGTGTGTTGGAGGTCTTGTGGCCTCTTTTCTACGTAAAGGTGGAACCGCATTTTGCTAAAGCTATCTGTATACTTCACAACCCTTGTATTTAGCGGGCTGATTTTCGTTGCATTATTTGCATTTTACTTTATTGTTGATTACCTTGCAAGTACATTCTGATGCCAAGTGATTTCCATGGTGGTGCATGTGATTACAGTAATACGTCTTTTTCTTGGACTACACTGATGTATGGATTGTTGTGTTCTCTCTAAAACGGGAGGAATGGAAAAAATGGATAAAGGAATTGGAATCTTTGTCAAGGATCTAGAGATTAGTAAATACTACTATCTCTCCGATTTTACTTCAATATTTTAGGCCCAACATTTTT